AGGTATGACACTGAAGTTAAATTCCATCTCAATGCATTTCTTTTTGAAGGAAAATACATCAGAAGATGCACATTATATCTATACCCGGCTGCTCGGCCAAAAATAATTACAGCTGCCAATATACATATATTTATACATCTGCTGGCTATTTCATTTTTTTTTGGGGGGTGCAGAAACAAGGTGATATTCCTGACAAGTATTTATAACAACATACCCAGTGAGGTCCCACAAGTGGAGCCTAGGGAGGGTAGACTGTACGTAGACCTTACCGAGGAGGTAGAGAGGTTGTTTCCGAACATTCAAAATTCCTGACAAGTGTTTGCATTGATAAAATGAAGTTCTCGATTTCATAGCGGATCTTAAGCAATAAATAGCTTTAGATTAAATTGTGCTAGCACCCTAATGTCAAGCCATCAGAATGCAAACACGATGTGCCATGACACCTAGGTGAATGTTAATTTTGGTTAGGGCTATAAATTTTTGAAGGTGGCCAGCATGTCCTTAATGCTGAAGAATGCAACTTTACCAATGTTCAAAAAAAAAAAAACTAGGTGAATATGTTGGGAAGGAACCACCACATATGTATGCATGATGCACCAAGATATTTAGCTAATCCTTACAGACGATGCTAGTTTGGTCTACTCTAGAAGTGTACTCCCAAAACAAACTACATGCATCAGCTCTCAGTATTCAAAGAGCATAAGAAAGAGAAGTACTTATGAGCTGAGTGACGTGTACACGATATAGATTTTCAGCTTCAGCTCATTGTATTAGCTTTTTCAGATCAATAATTTCAGTTTGCAGTTAGACTTTCTTAGATATCAATAACTTATTAAAATCGGAGTTCTAATAACAGTTGGAGTAGCCCATCAGGTGCTAGTCATGACCTCTAATTTGAGTTGTCACACTTCCGTCTAAACTCAGTATTATAAGAAGGATAAGATTGCAATGACAAACTAGGTTAACACTTATAACTGTTAGTCTCCTCTCCAAGCCCAAGAGCAGGCACACTTTTATGTGGGGGAGAGATAAGGGGAAATACATCGAAGCCGCGCAGATGCATAAATCAAGATATTGAGTAAGGAAATGCTTATAGAAAGAGATCAGTTCTTTTACCTTCACAACCATCCCACATCTGCATCATAAAAACATAAAGTTCAGAACATAGTCAACTTGAAAACCTATCTATTTAATGAAAAGGTGATTGCAGTATCAGACTTACTCGACAAAACTATCAAAACACAGCTCGGGTCTCCTACCACTTCCATCAGTATATCTGGAAATCAAAACTTCAAGAACAGAAGGTGGCACCATGTATCCAAGACTGTAGAGAGCATCCCTTAGTTCTGTTGCATCAATCTTCCCACTTCGATCTCTGTCAAATCTCTCAAAAATAGCCTGCAAACCAGAGGATCAAAATGTCAGAGACATTAACTAAAACTAGAAAAAGATGATCTTGAAAACAAAATATGAATGGCTATGGTAGGGTGTGAGAGACATATAGACACTAAGTTAACCTCAGTATCAGCCTCTATGTTTCTTTTCGATCTTTGTTACCAATCACCTTCATTTCTTTTTTATGTTGGTTGTGTGTTTTAGTACAAGAACTGTAAAGCTTTAAAATTTATGCATGGTAAAGGTGAATATCTGTTCTCGAAACATCTATAGTATCTCAACTCTCCAAATTGTCCAAAATGTTTACCCATCACTTTCTGTGACTGATGTTCTTCCATAGGCCGAAAACTAAAAAATTACCCCAGGACAAGGCCATATTGGGCTGCATATAACTTATTTTGTATCATCCCCCCCATCTGCTTCCACCTCCCTATCTTTTACAACCCGCTCTTCCTCATGCTAACCACCATTTTAAGGTTTTTTTTTTGTTTCTACCTGAGGTTTTCATATCTAACTTCTTGAATGCTATCCTAACAATTAAAAACTAAAGCAGAAAGGAATGAACAATACCCTCCATTGACCAAGACAGCTCCATAGTGCAGCAAATTCCTTTGGTCCTGTTCAGCAATACAAGGCAAAGCTTAAGTAAACAAGGAATAGCAAAAACACAGCAACAAAATTAGATAGCAATGTCATATAGCTAACTACCACAATATTTCAGAAACAAACCAAAACACTAGCTATATAACCTATAATCATTAATTCTTAATCAGAACAAGAACATCGCCATTGTCAATTTGAACTACCTTCATATAGAGGAAAAGCTATATAGCAAAACACTAAGAGCTAAAATTCAAGAAATGACTAAAATTGAGCTAAACAAGTCTATATAAAGCACCTCACAACCAAAATCATAGCAAAAGACATGGATAAATTAGATTGCCAGCATTTGGACTCTATCACCACCACCACAACAACAACAAAATCCTTTCTTTTTCCTAATCACCGTTGATATAAAAGTAAAGCTACATATGAATCAATTAGCCTACATAGCAAAAACCCAAAGAGCTAAAAATTCAAGAAATGAGTAAAATTGAGCTAAACAAATCAATATAAAGAACCCCACAACCAAAATCCCTTCTTTTTCCTAATCACCATTGTTAATTTGAACTACATTGATATAAAAGTAAAGCTACATATGAATCAATTAGCCTACATGACAAAAACCCAAAGACTTAAAAATTCAAGAAATGAGTAAAATTGAGCTAAACACATCAATATAAAGAACCCCACAACCAAAATCCCAGTAAAATATGTTTTTTTTTCCCCCAAACTCACCAATTCTTGGAAAATACTCAGATGGATTCTTGAAAAGAAAGATTAACAAACGAATAGTCCTAAGACTAAACCTTTGGTAACCAGAAGAAAGAGCTTGTTGCAGCTCTTTCTCCTCAACAAACCCACTACAATCCCTATCTACCATCTGAAAACTCTGAATAACTTGTGGGTCAGTCCCCGGAGAAAAACCAGAACCATAATTTGGAGGATTCTGGTAATACCCATAAGAAGAACCAGGTCCATAACCAGCTGTTTGCGGTTGAGACTGATGAGGGTAATTTGAGTAATTTGCAGAGGAAGAAGAAGAGGGAGGATGATATGGGTGGGCTATTGGTGGCTCATTTGGGTCGGAGAGTGGCGGCGCAGAAGGAGAATACGATGGTCGGTTGCCATAGGAAGACATTGTTGTTCAGTGGTGAATACTAAAAGAAGACGAAAATGGATACTTATGTTTTTTTTTTTTTAGTTTGAAGTTATTTATTATCACGGTTTGATCTGTTATATTAAATAAATTAAGTTAGAATGTATTAGAATTAATATGAAAATTAATATTAGTATTATTATTTTCTAATACTTTGTACCAAACGATTTCTTGTAGTTTAAGGAGTTGTACCAAACTAGATAAGATTATAACTAGCACAAAATGCCTATCCAAATGTGATTCCTATTGAATAAGTATCGCGAACACCCTAAACTTGATGTAAATTATTAGTTTCATCTCCAAAGTATTGACAGCCTTTAAAACACACGTTTAGTTGACTAATTGAAGCTAAGTATATCCCCGATCTTGCAATATTAATGGAAAACACCTCTAAATTCTTGTCAAGTTTTAAAATGTTTTTAATACTTTTCTCGATTTTTATTAAGAACTTCATGCTCCTACAAGAGTTTGAGACCACTTGCTATGTCATGTGGCATATCGTGAGTATATCGAGGATGTATCTAAGTTTAGTTAGTCAAGTAGAGGGTGTTTTTAAGGCTGTCAATAGCTCAGGGATGACAAGTTTATGAGTATTTTCAATACTTCTCTCAAATCTAACGGACAAATTACATGTATTTGGTGTGATTTGCATATATCGAATCGATATGCAAGCGAGATGAGAGGAAGACGAGTGAGATTTGTCTATGTATTCTTTCTTTTTTTGACAAAGATTTGTCTATGTATATTCTAAATACATGCAAATCCAGTTGGATACTATATATCTAAAATAAATTACACGTTATTTTGAACTCATATATCTCGAGATACATATTTTTGAACGCACTAAAATCTGATTCATAATATCATAAACTAACATATATCTAAATAATTAGTTTCTAAGCTAGCGAGATTTCCCTTTTAAATATATTTAAAGGATTAACTTGACCATACCAACCATGGTGGAGAAAGTATTAATGCGTGTGAGGCTGTATTGACAACTTTGACATTGACATGGTCATTATTTGCCAAGCAAGCGCAATTCCATTTGGCTTTTTATTCTTCATATAAATCATAACTATATTAGCTTGGAAACTTAACGGAAGTTGTTCTATATCGTGAGTAGGGATGGACATTCGATATTTTATTTAGGTACGGTATTCGGTAATATCGTATTGAAGTTATAGCCCATTGTATTACAAAGTTAATACTATTTCTCCAATCATTACTATTTTTTTATGTGAATGCACGATATAATAGAAGATCAACAAGTAAGAAGACATCAAGAAAAACAAATTGATACAACTAAAAGGCATGTATTTGAATTATTCATGCTTGTTCTTTTAACTTTTTCTTTGGACTTGTACTAATGAGTAATGAATATGTTGATATATGACCTTAAATAATTTGGTATTCGGGAAATACTTATTACCAAATGGTTACTAATATCTCATACCAAACCCAAACCTGAATACCATAATTCTAAAATTTTACTCCCGAATACCATACCAAATACCGAATTACCAAACAATTTGCCCTCAATCAATGAACCTCTAGTAGGCCAATAAGAGTTGATGAATAAGGTATTGATAATCAGGGGCAAAGCTAAGAGGGTTCATCTGAACCCTATTCGCAAGAAAATTACATTGTATATACAAAAAAAATTATTCTTTAATGCATATATAACAGATGATGAATCCTTCCTGTGACTGCTGATAACATAGTACCAAACTACCAATAGAAGCTGCTTCAGTAGACTGATAGACACTAAACCAACCTAACTTGACATTGAAAATGATAGCTTCTAAAAGTTACTCATGTCTCTGCATTTCTGCTTCTGTCAAAGTTGCTCCACTCTTAGGTATAACATTGAGAACTTCAACATGATTTGATCCAACAACTCTTACACCGCGAAAAAAAATAGTGCAAACCTGAAAAGGGAACTAGGCAAATAAGAAATAAGATCCAAAGATTGGGAGATATTCTTAGACTTTACCAATTACCACTCAAAAGAACCCACGGAAACTCAACGAGTATGATTTGATATGCATATAAAGCGAGCCAAGAAAAACATGGGAGAGGAAAACTCACCTTGCTAATACAACCATGTCAATGAACTGGCTTGACGAGCTAGCAAGATAAACTCAAATTTACTTTCTGACAATAGAGTCCTTTTCGGGGTTGTATTAACCATTATCAGGTTTCATGCGCATTTGCTATCTTCCAAGGTAAACATCCTTTTCGTGTAGCTTAGCAGGACCTATTCTTGTTCTATGAAATGATCAACCCTTCCTTGATTTACTTTTTATGCTGTTCATCAAATATTCACCCAACCTAGCGCCAGCCTCCACTATTCTCGTTTCAGGTTTTATCTCAGCTTGAATAAGGTCCACCAAGGTATTCCCTATTTTTTCAGCAGCATCCCATTCCAAGATCCTGGATACAATTTCTTCCCATGTATCTGTATGTAGGGGTTCACCGTGACTCAAAATACTCCCCGCTACCCCACAAGCTTCCTCAATTTTACCTAGGTTACAGAAACCTTTCACAACCGTGTGAACCACAGAAAAATGCGGAGAGAAGCCTTTTGACATCATTTCCACCATGTAATTCTTAGCCTCATCGTACATTCCCTGATTGCTTAGACCCCCAACTAATGTCCTATAAGACACCAAATTGGGAAGACACCCATTTGATGGCATGTCCTCGAGGATTTTACAGGCATCAGCAGCACGACCTTCTCGACAGAACCCCAGAATTACTGTATTGTAATGGACAATGTCAGGATTGCAACCCTTTACTTTCATCCTGCAAAGAAGCTTGTAAGCCTCCTTAAATTTCTTTTTCCGACACAAGCTGTTCAATAGAGTGCTATAACTTAAAGCATCGGGGACAAAACCTTTATTCAGCATATCCTCCAGCAAGTCAACAGCTGTATTCACTTGACTTTTTCGACACAAACCCTGCATCAGAATCCTATATGACTCTACATTAGGACTGATCTCTCTCTTAAACATCTGATTAAACAGCGAGTAGGCAATACTTAAATCATCATTCAAACAGAATGCCCGCATTAGAATGTTGTAGGACTCGGTGTTTGCCAAAACTCCGTATGTATGTGCAGATCTGAAGAGATCAAATGCAGGGCGAAGAAAGTTCCGATGAGTTACGAGGATTGCAAGAATGAGGTTGAGATGCTTCGGAAGAGGCTTCATATTGAATTCCAGGATAGTATAGAAAGTTTTAAGGGCTTTGTCAGGTAGGCCAGCATCACCATATATTTGGATGATGTGCGAAAAAAGAGATGGGGAAATGGAATAATGCTGTGACTTTAGGGAAGAGAGGACGGACTGCATGAGGGAGAACTGCCGGGAATGGCCAAGCTTGAGGATGAGGGTGTGGAAAGTGGCATACGAGTGCTGAAAATAGGGTTCTCGCGAGGCTAAATCAAAAATTTCTTTAGCAAGGAGTGGATCTGATTGGGAAGCAATAAGCTTCTGGACTCGAGCTGGGGAGCCGATAGACGGTCCCTGGTTCATGTTTTGTTTATGTTCTTCATCTGCTTGTCTTTTTTTTCTATCTTGCTCTGGCTGTTGTGTGTGATAATGGGATTTAAACTTGTACCAGGCAGAAAGTGGCTCGACCTTTGATAGCCAAGAGGAAGAACACAATACCAGAGCCAAGAAGTCCTTGGAGCTGAAGTGATGTGAAATCATTCTCATTTTTTTCGATCATCAAGCTCTTACTTCTTTACTTACTAATAGCCTTGATAGCCACTTCATTATTTTTGTACTTTCATGAGATGGTGCTCCAGAAAGCAAATCAGCGTCATGTTTGCAGTATTCAAACAAGACCGCCTACTGAACTGGAGACAACAAAAAGTTACACACGGGTGCAGCAATGATAAGAAACATAGGTGAATAATAGTAACACGAATAATTCAGTAAAATTTTCTTTTTACTGAACTCAAAAACTCATATAAAACAGAAAACAACTAGACTAAGCTTGATGAACCATGCTTGAGTAACCCAAAACGTTAAGAAGTATCAAGAAACACAATAACCCAGAATTTTTTCTTTCAAACACCAGGAATTTTTTTTATCATTGGCTTACTACTTTAGTTCCAATAGGAGAGGGACTTCCTCAAACGAGCTCGAGACTAAAAGTATCGTTATGGAGATAGTCATACTAATGCTAGGTAAATCTTCCTACAGATGAAGAGCACAATCTTCCTCTCTGAAACATTTTTTCGAACATAACAGCATGCACATATGGGAAATTTGACTTCTGTTCTGCAGATTAATCAAAGCCAAACTTTTCGAGATGACTGTCCTGAATTCACAGATGAAAATTTCTCTTTTCTAACACCATTCATGTTTGCATTTGCACAGGTTTTTACCTTCACATATGATACCCATACCATGAAAGAGTTCATGCAAAGATGGAGTAACAATGATATAATTCTTATGGAATTTAAAAGAGGAAGACTCAAGGTGGCCCAGTGCAAAATTAGAAAACCAGAAATGACGGATGCCTACAAGGGAAAGGAAAAACAAGATCTAATTATATTTATTGCTTCCTCCAATTTTTAGTCCGATTGTTCCTTAATTCAAAAGTTGTGGTTACCCCCTTCTAATTGTTTTCCTTTCTAACTAGTAGAATCAGTTGAGCTTGTAAATCAAGCTCTCAAATTTAATTACCTTTAAGAAAGAGGGTGGTAAGGATATCGATGCACAAAAAGTTAGGAGACTACTTTATAAAAAGAGGGTGGCAAGGACATTGATACACAGAGAGTTAGGAGCATTATTTTTCAATCAATCTTTAGAAGGTGATAAACAAGAGTGACGTTCAACAACAACTACAACTTCTACGCCTCAATCCTGAACTAGTTGCTAGGGATCTATACTAGAGAAACTTCAAAGATAGAAGAAAAAAGGGCATACATGAAAGCTATTTACTCTTCCACTTGTTTTTTTTTTTTTGCCAAGGGTTTTTCGTAAACAAATCCACCTTTCATCAAAGATTAGAACTTTAGACCAATTGGGCATCTTTGTCCACCCTCTGCCTAGGCCTGTCTGAACTCTGAAGTAAACATTTTATCAAACATGCATGTTTTAATTAGACCCAAATTGACAAAGGGAGTTGCACGGGTGGTAAGATCTCTCCAGCTCCAACCTTAAGTAACCTTCAGATTGTGGGTTCAAGTTAACAAGGGAGTCAAAGACAAAAGGTGGGTAAAAAAAAAATTAGACCCAAATCCACCTTTCATCAAAGATTAAAACTTTAAGAACAATTGGTCATCTTTATTGCCTAAGCCTGTGTGAACTCTGAAGTAAACATTTTGTCTAACACCTAATGTGAATATATTAATATAAAGAACCAAATCCATTTTCATCAAAGCTTAAAATTTTAGACCAATTGAGGCATCTTTGTGCACTCTCTGTCTAAGCCTGTCTGAACTCTGAAGTAAACATTTTGACTAACACCTAAACATGAATGTATTAACAAAGAACCAACACCCAAGGGTGTAGTCTAGTGGTCAGTAAAATGGGTTGAGAACCATGACGTCTCAAAATCAAATCCCCTCAGAGACAAAAAGCACTAGATGACTTCTCCTAATCTTGGTGGACAAAGTTACTTGGTACATGTTGCTAGCGGAAGGTAACATGTATTTCATAGTTAGCCTGAACAAACAATAAATAATAAAGAACCAAATCCACCTTTCATCCAAAGATTAAAACTTGAGACCAATTGGTCATCTTTTTTGCCTAACCCTGTGTGAACTCTGAAGTAAACATTTTGTCAAACACCTAACATGCATGCTTCAATTAGACCCAAATCAGCCTTTCATCAAAGATTAAAACTTTAGACTAGTTGGGCATCTTTTTTAGCCTAAACCTCCCATAACTCTGAAGTAAACATTTTGTCTAACACATGTAAATAAAGAACCAAATCCATTTTCATCAAAGATTAAAACTTTTAAACCAATTGGGCTTCTTTGTTCATTCTCTGCCTAAGTCTGCATACACATCTTTAAGCTAAATGCTTACACTAAGAAGGAGAAGTGAAAAAGTATTTCTTACAAAATTGATGATTGTTAGTTGTTGCAGATAGAGAGAAGACTCCAACAAGTTTGCTTGCAGAAGCCAAAGAGTAGAACCTGAGGGCCAAGCAGGAATACTAGTAGGATAGGCAAGATACCTATGTTTATTTGTTTAACTTTAGTGCTCTTCAAAATCAAATCGAAATCGATGACCTGAATGACAAAAAAGTTATTGATTCATTGTTAATGAGTTGCTTAGTTTAACGGTTTAGATTTTTTTTATCATCAGGTTATTGGTTTTTAATGGTTTGAAGTTTTTCTTAATGGGTTAACTGATAATCCGATAGTAAATTAATAAATTATATTTATACCATTTTGGTAAATAAAGTCTTTGACTTATGATTTAGTTTCATATTTTTATTTCTGGTAGTCTCAAACTTCTGGTTATTCTACAATATGTTAGTGTTGTTTTTTAGCATGTGCATGGTTTATTTGGTTTGTGATAATGTTTCTAAGTGATTTTCAATCAATTATTTTTTTGTGTCAAATCTTAACGGTTAAACTAATAATCGAACCGATAACGATCAATAACTGATAAACCAATAACCGATAAGTCAATGTCTTAATGGTTCTTAACGGTTTAGTATGTCTACAAACCGATCAGTTGAATCGATAAGTTTCAACATCGAACCGAACCAACTAATACGTAGCTCTACTTGGTAATTCATGTCCTACGTGATGTTTTATGTTTTAATTCACATACTACGTGTATTATGTCAGATACAATATGTTTGTCTACTTATTCAACTTTATATAAATTTAAATATTTATTTGTGCACACCCCAAAAATCGAGGTTCAGTCCAAATCAGATTAAAAAACACGTTTATATATTATAAGTATTGAATAAAATCCTCTTCCATGTAACAATTTCATGGCGGGAAAAGAAACCTAAAACCCCAAAAATCATCTTTCAGTATTCAGCCAAACACACAGAGAGAGAAAAATGTCAGAGATAGAGAAGCAGAAGGAGAAAGTAGTAGCAGAAGCAACAGTGCAAATCGATCAAGAGGGTCTTCCCAAAACTATTGTACGCAGGGTTGTGAAGGAAAAGCTTTCTCAGCTATCTACCGATACTGATATCTCACTTCTTCGTGACTCGCTCCTTGCTTTCTCTGAAAGTGCTCGACTTTTCATCCATTACCTCTCCGCAACGTAAGGTTTAATGGGTTTTGCAGATTAGTTTCAATTCTTTCTTATTTTTGATAAATTTCAATTAATTCCTGGAAAATGATGAAAAGGGTTGGAGATTATGGGTGTTGTTTTGAATTTTGTGATCCGGAATTCAAATGGGTTTTGTTAAATTTTTGTTCTTTTACTGATTATTTATTGATTCAGCCTTAAAAAATTGAAATTTAGGATTGTTTGTTTTGTTGCTAAAAGGAAGTAAGGAAATTTCTGAAATTTTGTGATCTTGGATGTGTACTGGGTATTCTATTTTTGATGACGAGTAAACCTGCAGCACAGGGTAAACCTTGATCCTGTGCAATAGCTCGCTAATCACACGAGAGGGTTAAATTGCACTAGGCAAGTCCTGTGTGATGTGCTTGAATCAGAAGTCCAACCCCTTGTATTGTGTATTCTTTTTTAGTTAATCAGCTCACATACATCAATTTTTGAGCGATTAGGTCGGATGAACCAAGAGGTAGAATTGTCTTGTTGCTTAAAAGAAAATTTGGTGCTTTTTGAATTCTTGTAATTGTGGAGTTAGAAGAATTTTGTTTAAAAAATCATCCTGATCTATGGTGAAGTTTTTGAGTGTTTATAGGAACTGATCTGAAGCTGAAAAATAGGACTGTGTTGATTGTGAAACTGGCTTGTTGCTAAAAGAAAATTGGGAATTCTCTGAAACTGTGTAATCTAGGATTTAAAGGGTTCTGTGTATTAGCTAATTCTTTTACTGATTGATATCTAAGTTTTGGTTGATTAGTAGGATGAACACTAAAAGGTGGGAATTTGTGAAAAAAAAAGTGATATATTGTGATTCTAAGCTAGTGCTGAAGTGTGAATAAGGTTATTTATTGATTGATGTAAAACATAATAAGGCATGCTTTGTGTTGACAGTTGAGGAAATGAAGAACAAGTTGGATTATATATCAGTGATGATGCAGAAAGATGGAAACATGATTATGTTTTCTCTTTTCTCTTTTGTGATATTTCGCTTCAATGAGTGATCTCATTTGCAATGTGCAATTGCAGTGCTAATGACATATGCAAGGAGTCTAAGAGGCAAACGATAAATGCAGAAGATGTGTTCAAGGCCCTTGAAGAGATTGAGTTTCCAGAGCTCATTGAGCCTCTCAAAGCTTCTCTCGAGGGTCAGTTTCTTTTCATTGTTCTAAATTTTTTCGACAAGCCAGTATTTTTTTTCATGAAGTTGAATGCTTTCCATCGTAGACTACATACTCCTTTCATTCACCAATTGTTGCATACAATCACAGGTCAACATTGGGATCAGATATCTAGATTGTTGTCTATTTAGTTCTTCTATATTACTTCCAGATTTATGAGAGCAATGTGCTACAATAATGAATAGTATCTTAATTGGCAAAACCAAGTGTTGAATTTCAATGAATAGTTATTCTTTTATCTGATTGCTCTTATTCTCTTCTTATTACTTGAAATCATCAACAATTTTCTTCTACTATAGTATATTATTACTGAACTATATCTGTGAGAGGTGGGCTCACAAAAGATGATTGTCTACTTCCCTTTGCCACATAATATATCCATTGAGTTAAATACTATCATTGGCAGGTTACATAGTGTGATCCGGTGTATGATGCTTGATCTCTTGTTTAGGTCTACAGTTAAACATATTCATACTGGGATGAAGAAAGTTTGTCATTTTTCTTTGTTCTGCTAAAACCAAAGGAGTGTTATGGCCTCATTAAATTGGAGGATGGCACTTGTTGAGGTCTCTCTGAATAAGAATAGATTGTGTTGTTGAAACTTCAATGTTATCTTAGTAACACGATGGAGCTAGAGTACCACATATGTTAGTTCAAATTGATTAAATCACCTTGCATTACTATAGAAAGCTGAGGTGTCTTCTAACTTACTCTAAAAACCTCACTCCCACTAAAGGGTGAAAGAAAGTCTAGAATGTTAAGATCTATTTGCTTCTTCTTGCTGCTAACACTAACATTTACTTTGTACATATGTTGATCAAAAGGAGAAATAAAAGTCGGTAATAAGCCAAATATGCCCATTGTGTTGTGTTAGGGCATAGAGCTTCAAAGAATTGAATGGTTAGTGAGGATTATGGTCAGAGATCTTTCGAGCTGTATCAGAGTAGCATATGTGTGTCAATCCACCAGGTCTGTAGCCAATGTTGTTGTTTTTTTATATGGTAAAAGTTCTATTGGTAAGGTACTAAGGTACCCAGAAGGTACACAAAAATACGACAACAACCTAGGCCCCTACATTCTACAATAGATTCAAGCTACATAATTTCCAAGTGAATCCAAGTAATCCAATCCATATACTGCTCCATGTTCGCCCTCTTCACACCCAAAAAACAGACTATGCAGGCGCAGGTTCTTGACTCTACAAATATGATCCTTTTTATTCTCAAAACAACAAGCACTATTTCTTTTACACCAGAAAGGTTGTTGATGATTGCCTTTGTCTCCTGGCTATTATCGTCGAACAGATTTGAAACCTGCGTTACATATTTTTATTAGGCTTGTCCAGAGGTACTCTATAAAAGGTCAAAAACAACAAAAAAGAGCTGAAATTAGAAAACAAATGCTCACATTTGAAGACTGAACATTTGAGAGTTGTCTGGCACAGTAGCTCTCTTTACACCAGAAAAGTTGAGTATATTATTGCTTATTGAGCACTCTGAATCACTGATCTCTTTATCGGTGTTAAACACCAAGTCTAGCAATTTACAACTTTAGTAATATATCATTATCTCACTTGTCTAGGACATGTAGAAAGTCTTAAAAAACAAGGTCCTGACTTTGAGTTGGAGGGAGAGGGAGTAATTATTTGGGACAGATTAAGTTTTTAACATTTGGGCTTATTAATCATTCTCTTCATATGAATTAGAAGAAAAAACTATTTTCATTTTCTTGTTCAACTACCAAGTACATGCCTATAGTTAGTCTTCTCATGAGTTTTGAATTTATCCGTTATTTCACATAATTTCTTCCCATCCGTCATAGAAAAAGAGGTTCTTTTACCCCTTATTTATGTAATATGCAATAATCACCTCAATTAAATCTCTACTTAAAACTAAACTGGATCATTGATATTTATAATCCCAACTTGTCTGGGATTGATCATTGTTGATTCTAATTGATCTCTTAATTCGAGTTTCCTGTTGTGGCAAGTTTCAGACTGGTTAAACATATATCATTTGTTTGTCATGTGTTTTACATCCTCGAATTGTTAAATTGAGAGAACTCTGTGCAATATCAGATGGATACATGTATGATAACTGATAGATTATTGCTTTAACTGCCTTTCGTGGTCTGATTCAAAATGAGGCAAAATTTACTGTGGTGATGAAATGGACTTACACCTATCTTTGCTTTACATATTCTTCCCTCTTTTTACAGGATTCAGAGAGAAGAACTCTAAAAGGAAGTCAGCGTCATCAAAGTCCCCAGAATCTAACAAAAAGGCTAAGCTGAAAGAACCTGTGGAAAATGGGAAGGGTAAGATGAAAGAACAACCCTCGGGTAACGAAAATGAAGATGCACAAGCTGGAGAGGAAGTAAATGAAGTTGAGGATAGTGTTGATGATTAACAAGATTATTGTTTGCGCTTGCCTTCGTCGTTAGACATGTTATTCATGCCTTTGATATTAACCCCTCAGAAAAATGTAATCTTATCTTGGATGCAAAGTTAACAAACAGTTTGTAGAGTTTTATTCTGGAGTAAAATGAAGTTCTTTGGGAATTTGTTGTTCTTTTTGTCCATCCTCCTGTTCGATGTGTTTATTTATGTCATATAATTATAAACTTTTGAGTACATTTTGAAATTTTATCTGAGATATTATCATCGGGTTGAGGAGAGTTCTCATGAGTTCTAAAGCATATCATAGTTGCTGACGAAAAATGAATTTGAGATCATCTCGATTTTCCGTTTGTGTTAGTTCGTGAATTTTATGAAATGAGTGATCGACTCTATTTGAGTTCAAATTTTGTGGATCAATCGGTGACAACTTATTGAATGATACTCATTGTTTGAAAGGCTTGACATCACTTTTTCGGAGTTTATGTGTCACAAAATAGGAATTAAGAATTATCTCAATTTTTCGTGTATTAGTTAATGAATTTTTTGGAACATGTGTCACTGACTTTGTTTGAGCTCAAATTTTGTGGATCCATCATCCATTGGTAACGACTTATTAGATGATATACAAGAGGCGGACATTGCATATTTTTGGAGTTTGTGTCACGAAACAAGAATTCAAAATTATCTCAATATTTTGAGTATATTATAGTCTATGATTTTTTTAGAACATGTGTGATCAACTCTATTTGAGCTAAAATTTTGCGAGTCCAATGGTGACAACCTACTAAATAATAATACCCTTGATTTTCAAAAGGTGGACATAACTTTTTTGAAGTTTGTGTCACAAAACAGAAATTTAGAATTCTCTTAGTTTTTCCGGAATACGTGTGATCGACTTTGTTAGTAATTGAATTCCTTATATGGTTTCACATGAGAAACCGATCCAAATATAATCTACATTGAACAACACAAATACAGATATAAATAACTATTGCTCTTCAATAAATACGTCTTGGTCCCAAACAAATCGAGAGGACTATATGAATTCTCACTGATCATGTTTCATTAAACTGCCCACAACCGGTCAATGACAGTAGTGTTCAATTTTGAGCAACAATCATATGAATGTACGTACCTTTGGAACTAGAAAACATGTAACTGCAACACTATAACAGCTTACTGAAGATCAGGCAACAACAGGAAATATGCAAGGGAAAAACCTGTACCAAAGCAGAATCGTGGCTGTTTAACAAGGGTGCAGAGTAGATATCAACAGTTCCACATAAGAAAATAGAGACGCTAAAATTTCTTATTAAACGCTGACAGGAGGACGAGCCATAATAATTGCTGCAAAAACATCACTGAATTGGTGTACACAGTAGGGAGAATGGTTGTTTGCTAATGTTTAACAGACATTCAAAGGAGTGACAGCATACAAGAAGACCAGTTAAGATGAGACGGAAAGGAAAAGGCGAGGATGAATCCATCCACAAAATCATCAGAGATTCACTATTTTTCCAACTTATGCATTCATTTATCTGTTTTCTCCACTTCTTCCTCCTTCTCACCATATCGGCGCTTAAACTTTGCAATCTGACCAAGACTTTGAGCCATCTGACGCCTTGCTCTTATGTGATAAACCTTGCCTGTTTGGTGTATTTTGGTCATCATAACATGCATCAACCGTCCACTTTGAGTCACGTAGGATATCCATTGCATTTGAGGGTGAATTCCTTTCTTCATTTTTTTTTTCCTGAAAATGAACCTACAATTAAGTAGCAACATAGTCTTCCTTACAAAATTAGATACTTCCCCGGGAGCCTCAAATAAGCAACATTGTAGCTCTAAAAGAGTTATTCTTTTGCTTTTGGGGGGATGGCACTCTAGGCTATATGCTACAGCCTGTTAAAGCCTTCTAAATGAAGAATCAGAGATTGGGAAAAGACGAATTGCTAAGAAAAAAAATAGCAAAATGATATTCTCTTAACTCTGGCAAAAAAGACACTAAAGGGTGAATGGATAAAATCCCTAATTTGGACTGTAACATAAAAACTACCAAGACTAAATTTTGCAAAGCTAAGAATATTTCCCTTCCAATACCACTTTCAGTTTCTCCCTCCCTCTAAATCCAGAAATAGAGCCTTAAGTCAGTAACATCGGAGGACAAAGCCAGAGGTAAAAGCAAACACCAAAGTTTCACTGAAAAGGGTCTAATGAAACAACAATAGCAGGAGAGCACAACTAGAGCATTTTTCATTCTTGCACCTCATTTCTTCATAATATAATCTCTTTTTTTTCTCTAAACCTTTTCCCCCATAAAGAATAGCTTATTCCTTGTAAGAAAGGAAAAAGTATAAAAAACAAAAGATGTTCAATAATGAAAATAAACATGGAACCATTATCACTGATATGAAAACTCTACTATTATACACAAACATATTGATTTTTATCCGATTAGAATTTGAATATCCTTTATTATCAATCTTAAAGCCAAATTAGAAAAACTATCACAACTTAGGGGGTGTTTGATTGATCAAAATGTATTAGAGAACATTTTCTCTAGGAAAACAAGTTCCTAAAATACGAGGAAACCGACTTCCTCAATTAAACTAGGGAAAACATGTTCAATATAACATTCCAAGTTCATTATAGTCTACTCCCCACCCACCCAACCTTCCATCTCTTGACCATCCCACCCCACACCACCCCCGAACCCCACTCCCCACCCTATCCCACCCAATAGTGTTTTATTAGATTATATAGAAAATGCTCACGAAGGGGTGGGCGTTCGGTTCTTCGGATTAGAAAAAGTGTGCACCGAACACCCAACCAAACTAATTCGGTGCAAATGAGGACCAAATTATCAAAGTATTAAACCAAATTCATAATACTTCAGTTAAAATTCCACATGTCATCACTGTATAAAGTTCAATTCATCACATTTTCATACTCGGTCATGCATTTCCGAGACAACAAAATCACATGAAAGCAAATGAGGAGTAGGCATTTCAAACCAAAATCAAACAGATTATTGAGGCATTTTACCAAACAGGTATTAGGCATTTCACAACTCACTTTTTCTAAATACAAACACAGCTTTAATCAACTGTCTATCATGGATGCAATGTAGAATCGTCCACAAAAATAACAAATTTTAACTCAACAAATGTGAGGAAAAAAAAAAGTTCGATGGAGAGTGGAGACACAAGAATACTGAAAGCACATGCATAATCATAACAAAAATGTTTTAGGGATTAGGGTTTATCATGGCAATCGGAAGAGAAGTGAACTTACAACTAGATCGCCGGAAAATTGACCGGAGAATTTGCAAGGTTGCTGAAGAAGAAGAAGCAGTATAGTTTGGGGTTCGAATTTATTGAAAGAGAATTTTTGTGGGCTTTGTGTAAGTTTGATATAAGTCCAATCATCCATTTGTGTGAGCAAAGCCCAACAAAAACAAAATACGAAAAACGTTCAAGGTCAAAAGTCAAAATTATTAAAATCGAATATTTACTCATTAGATAAGCGAAGTCAAAAATTCAAGATAGTTAATCCTTGGACCAATCTCGGGCCTAAGACAATTCAGTTCATAAATTTGGTGTGGGCGCTCGGATCGGGAAGGATTCACATCTAGTGTATCTTGATCATCGGACCGATTTTGGACCTGAGACAGTTCGGTTCATATCTAGTGTCGGCATTAGAGCATTGATAGGTACTTTCCCTAAAACGAGAGAACTGGGAAGGATGCACCTTTGGTGTATCAGTTACCGATCTCGAACCTAAAACAGTTCGGTTCATATCTAGTGTGGGCATTAGTGCATTAATAGGAGCTTTACCTAAAACGAGAGAACTGGGAAGGATGCACCTCTGATGTATCAGTTATTGTGTCCACGGTAAACGCTGAATAGCCATACGTAGCGGATAATTACGGAAAGCATCCAAGTAGTAAGCTCAGCCCAAACGATATTTTTGAAGCTCACGTAGAAAAAAAAAAGTGGGTTAGACAAATTAAAAGCAATTTGGACAAAGAAACAAGTGGCATAGACAAATCTCTTTTGTCGATAACCTTAGACCAATCAATTGAATATTGATTAACACATAACTGATCGGACACTACTTGAAAACGACCTCATCTACAAAACCATTATTGTAAAAATCATCCGGTGTAGAAAACTTGGTTTTTCCACAACACTGAACTTGTCACTTCAGATTGATTATAAAGATGGTGGTAAGTACAATTGAAGCCTTCAAGTTTGAGTCCGGAAAATGAAATAATCGCCTTTGATAGAAAGCATTTTACCCACCAAAAGTGAGACTTGCCGACACGGATTCATTGCTAATTCAAACTAGATAGTTTGAACACTGAACTTTGTACTTCACAAGAACAAAAACATAGGTCAACAGAAGGAGAAAAGAATTACATTCAATTTGCATATGCCAATGCACCAACAGAACCAAATGTGTGAATTGAGAAAACAACAGAAAACCTGACAAACAACAAAATTCTGGTTCAAAACACAGCTATTTATTCTATATTTAAGGTACTAACCCAAGAAAAAGATAAAAGTTTGAGCCAGCTTCTGGTACAAATTTTGAATGAGCAAATCTACCGTCTAAAGCTGAACTGGGAAACATATAACGATACGGTCTTGGGAGGTGACATCGGTACAACTGCTCTGAGTAAGTCAGAAATGCTTGCTGTGATGCTACATGTAACCCTTTGTTGCAAAAGTTTGCACTTGTTCATTGGTTGTCGATGATACAACTGTTTCTGGTCGAATTGTACAGTGAGTTTGGAGGTACCTGCTTCCTGTCATAACCTGTGGTGTTGAAAGATGGATGCACAACTTATTTCAAGTACTCCAATGTGCTTTGGTTAATCTCCTCGAGGAATGAAACGAAACCCATGACACTAGTAAAGCCGCTTCCTTCAACATCTTGTTCCTCTATCAGATAATTCTCAAACGCCGTTGCATCATCCTGCCCTCCCTTGATAAATGAAAGTTTTGGTGTGATACACCTCTCTTGCTTCAGCTTGTTTATTGTTGTTCTCAGTAAACCTGGTTATCAACATCAAAGTTTCACATCTCAAAAATGCACCCACAATAAGGTTCCAGTGATACCTAATGAAACTGTAAGAAGATATTTGTTACTTACAGTCCTGAGGTGGCGGAAACGGAAGTGAAGGGTCTGCTGTCGAGGAATAGAACACAATGAGATTTGTGAATGCATCAAGGAAAAATATTGGACTGCCACTTGTAATCAGCGCAGCTCGGCTCAGGGAATGTCGAGGATATGCTTGCTTATCCGGTGAGGCATATGAGGTTAACAATGGATATACAGCACGACTAAGAGAAGAAGGTTCTAGTGCACTGCATCAAAAGTCCAAAGTCGTTAACAATAAGATTTACCACCTATCACCCCCCAAAAATTGACAGCAAAACAAAATATCACTATATAAGGAGTCACGGTCAGCATTTAAACATAAGTTGAAAGGCCATATTTCCTCTTTCTCTTCTTTTATCTTTTTATGTAGTGACAGATACTGTGATTGTGTGCACTCCAGAGACAACATATAAAGTTCTCTTATGTATGTATACCACCATTATAAAAAGACCCAATGAACTGTTGAAGAGATGTTTTAAGTAGAACACCGAAATAAGGTGCCATCTCTATTTGACCAAATCTTTTGGAGTAAGACGTAAATACTACACGTGTCACTCCAGAGATGATAGTTCATCTTTTACTAGATCACAAGATAATGCAGAACTTTGTGTCCTTGTGAACGGAAAAAAAAGTTTGGGTATCACTATGTGTCTATGTCCATGACCATACTAAATGAGGTGTAGTGCTAAAAAAAATTATACTTGAAAGAACCTTGATCCCTTTAATCCAGACTTTTGAAGTATTGCCAGATACCTCTTTCAGTAGAATACTTGAAGAGACTTACATGTTCAAATCCCAAAAGTTACATAGAAAGATATCCTTAAATGTATATGAAAACTTACCCAACGAATTATATGACAAGTCCACTCATGCATAATATTTTCATAACCATGCTTTTGTAAACTGGAGAAGGGAAGAGAGAACTACAAGACTTTCCCTTCTCATGTTTGGCTTAAAGCAAAGAAGTGGAGAGATAATTTCGCCTTCTGTCCCCTTTGGCCTTTTCCTTAGACTAAGGTTGTTCCTCACTCTCTTGCTCTTTCCTCGGAGGTCTTAAAACTCTCTGATATAGTTCCTTCATAAAACACTGAACTCCAACTTCAAAAAGCATACTGCCATCTTATCCCATTGTCATAGATCAGATTTGTCTAAAACCTCCTCCCTTTTTTTCAAAATTTGTTGTCTAAACGCTCCCTTCTCACATTGCTTCTGCTAGCAGCCTTTCAGGTCATAAATCAGTTCCTTGCTCCTCTTTTCCTTCTTTCTACTTTCCTTTTCTTTTGCTTCCCTTAGTTTCCAAACAACAGTTACCTAAGAATGCATTCTGCATATCTTATTTCCAGTTGAAACTTAAAAACAAGTATTCAGTAGCTAAATTAGTTTATTCCAATGTCATAATCTCTTCCCCATATCCAATATAACCCCCACTACCCCTCCCCCCAACCCCCAACCCCCCAAAAAAAACAAGGAATTAAAGAGCTGAAACTCTAATCTTATGAGCTAATTAAGAAAATAACCCACTTGGAATATATCAATACCTAGAAAGACACTGAAGATATATTCGGTAGTCAGGATGCACGCCTTCTTCGTGTAAACGGAGAAGAGGATTTCGTAATAGAGCAAAAACCAAGCGGGGTAAAGGCTGCAGTTGAGGACATTGGGAAAATGCAACATCAATGTGAACGCCACTTGAACCTCCATGCCCAGACTGAATAAGTTTGCAAGCATCATTATACTGAGCCGTAAGAATAACAAGCCAATCATGAAGTAACATTCTGCCCTCTCGAACGCCTTGCTCCAACGAGGCTAGAATAACCTGAGAACAAGGAGAATTATTCAGCACAAGTAAAGAGTAAACTTATCCTGCAATTCAGAAAGCATGATTTGGTATATGAATAAAAATGGGGCAACTATAGTATATAAACCAAACAAGGAGAGACATGATATGTTTGATCTTATACAGATATATCTAATACTCTACCAAATACTTTTAGCTTACAACTTGATTTGTGGTATTTCAAGAGTTCCTCTCATTTTAAAAGAGTAACACTCATTTTATCATATTTTTGCCTATGACAGAGAATTTTTTTTGTGAAGTTTGTAATCAATCTGCCAGATTGTGATATCAATGCATTAATAGGTATAATCTAGAACGAATTTTGTTGTAATATTGGAATAAAAATTGAACTCTTGAAGTCTAGTTTCCAACTGATCAAACAGTTCGTGAGATTTTCAAATAATGCATATAGGTAAACTACCAAAAGTGCAGCAAGTTCATCATAAGTTGCTGTATCTTCACTTCTACAGATCAGTTAGTCCAGTTAATAGCCCTGATGAATTTGCGTTAAAGTGAAACATGAAGCCAAGTAAGACATACCTTGTGGACAAGTAATGAAAGCACCACTTCAGAATCAACACAGTCATAAATCTCATTTATGCTATGACCTACTCCAAACTGAAGAGTTCGAATCCTTAATCTCTTTTTGAGAGAATGCTTTGCTCTGCACAACACATCCACTGCTTAGAGCATATCTAATAGAAGATGATTCAAAGGGTATCCATCAGAAAAAGAACAGCAAAAGGAGTTTTTCCTGGCTCAAAGCTAGAGAACTATAAATTATAGAAAATGTTTTAGAATTAAAGAAGAAAAAGAAAGTAAAGAGAAACTAGAGTAATGCAACACAACTAAGAAATGGTCAGATCCAACTGCAATTCCGACAAACATTAATTCCAGAATTCTCTACTTCTAGAGCCACCATCCATTTGCTGTCATAAGTAATTTCACTTGCATAATTTTAAATTGAATCAACTTTTACATTGGGAAGCTAAGAGGTACCAAACACCATATATAATAGGTGGCTCTTCAAATATCCACGGCTAAAACATTTAAGCACCCAACCACCAAGGGTAAACTAGAACCAAACTTCTGCCCAGCCACTTGTCCAAATTCAAAATATAATGACATACTTTATGGTTCTTGGTTTTTTGAGTTCTACTAGGTGAATCAATACTCATATTTATAAATAAATAAATAAATAAGAAACATGCTAGTTGATGGTCACTGCTACCTGAAAGGTAGTAAAGCAGCAAAAAGGCCTCTAGTAAGAACACTGTTACCTTGTTGTAGTATTTGATCCTGCATTTGCAAGTTCATCTGGTGGGACAACAACAGTATACTGAAAAGCAATTTGCAGCATAGGCAATTCTGAAGTATGCCTGCAGAAGAAAACCATTCTTGTGTTATTCATAAATATCTGGCTCACACAAATGATTTTCACTGACATCGGCAAAAATAATGCTTACTAGATGCAGTGGAACTGGGAACACATAAAGAAATTGGTCCAGAGCAGAAAATAAAGAAAATAAATGAACTTTGAAAATGATATAGTTATCAGTATGTATCTACCAAACTTATTTTTTGATAATCAGATAACTTTATTAACACAATGAAGATGGTTCTGCTTTACATAAAGCTAATACATGTATATTTCAGACTTCCCAAATCTATGCAACAAATAATTCCTTTACAACCAAAAAAAAGAAAGAGATTTTGATGTTTTGTAATGATATTTTAAGAACAGTTTTCTACATCTTTTACCTACTCACTTCCAGCTTGGTAATCCTCCAAATTGCGATAGTCTGCGACCGCATCAGATGTTCAACATGTATAATTTATTTTTTTTGACAAAGGTAATAGTGTTCAACATGTATAATATCACAGCATATATTGGTCAGTTGGAATTATGGTAGGTGGATGTGGAGACACAAGGCATGGAACACTGTTCCACACTTGGTGGATTCTTTGGAAGGAAGGAATAGTAGAGTTGTTGAAAGTATAGAAACTTTGTACAATTGAGGAATAGCCTCTTATCATGTACTCCCTTCGTTCCCTTTTAGTTGTCATGTTGCGCTTTTCGAAAGTCAATTTGACTAATTTTCAATGCTAAATTAAATTACCTTGATTCAATATTTTAAACTAAAAATTTACATATTCAAAAACTCTACGAGAAATACTATAGATTGCAATTTTTTGCATATCAATTAGATGAAAAAATACATCTTAAAATGTTAGTCAAAGTTCTTAACTTCTTATCGTTTGACCCTAAAAAGGGAAACCATGAAAAATAAAAAGGAACAAAGGAATATCTTCTTTTGGTGCACCCATGAGATTCCTTTTGTATAAGAAATTGTGTCAACATAGAAAATCATATCGTTTTGTAAGTTTCCTACTTTTGGTATACTTCTTGATACAAGTGGTTTTGTGCCCATATATTTAATAAAATTTATTACTTTTTTCCAAAACACAGAGTCTGGTTTTTGAGAGAACCTTACATCCTATATTGAATTTAAATTGTTAGTGAATATAATTTGTCGAACTAGTCTAAGTTATATACACAATGTTATTTTAGAACCATGTCAAACGTTTCGAAATGTACCAAAATCAGAAGTGTCAGAGATATTGGAATGGAGAAAACAATACTTCAGAAACGTCAGTAAGGCCAACATACAGCTTCACTAAAGGGGCCAATAGCACTACTTTAATCAAATGTGGTTTCTAATGCAAAGAGATGAAGTATCAATTATCTAGCCAAACATAGTTCCATGTAATCTTTGTGTAAAATAAAACAATGAGCATAAAACTTAATTTGGAAAAGGAGACAAGAGATAGAAGATGTATTACCTGGAAAATCCAGAATTATTCGCAAATTCAAAATCATAGGCATATGTAGCGAAAGAATCACAACAAATTATGTGTTGGACATTTTCATATTGTGGATCTGGGAAGAAATGCCCATACTGTTGGGAAATAGTGCAATTCTTATGAGCCAATCAAAATAGTAGAATAAGAACCAGTGGGAAAAAATACTAGAAGAAATCTTACAGAATGACTCTGCTGGAATTCAGACGAAGTCCTCAGCCTTAAGACACAATTAAAAGCATATGGTCGACTTAACATGCGGTACCTGTCAGAATATCATTCTAGTGTTATGTAAACAGATTAATGTAACCTCAGGAAAAACAAGAAAAATGGTTCTTACTAATGTGTAAATCTGTATACTGCTAACAACCAGTTATTTACTCAATAAATGACCCGTCAACGACAAGTCTTCGACCAAATTAATCCTTCAGGCATCACCTAAGGCTTACTAACATCCTTCATATCAACATCCCATTAACGAAATCCCTCAGATTCGCAAAACTTAACAGGAAATATACAGGAAAAACACCTAGTTCTCAGAAAATGCTCTCCTGCTTTCTCTTTTATTTTATTTTTCTTTACTTTAGCTGTTACATACATATCTGATTTAAATTTGAGGATTTATGTTTCCCAAACAAACTGCCATCTATTATTTACATATAAGAATCACCAATTCACCATCTGAAATCCTGTGGGGACATGTAGAACAACACTAAAACTGGAAGTCAGATAAAAAGAAAAGGGTAGCCCGGTGCACTAAGCACCCGCTAAAACTGAAAAGATATGTAATAAAAAAATTATACACTAATCCCCAACACAAGAAAGAGAAAGAAACTGTTAAAAAGTGAAAAAGTGCTCTGAGTTGGTTAAACCGAAAGCCAGATGCCTGTTTTCCTTGCCATAAGAACACCTATTAGAAGAAAAATATAGCCACTCAATAAACAGAAAAGACGAAAAAACTCCAGGAGCAGCACAGCGTACCATCCTTATAAGATCAAATAAAACTAAAATAACAAAGAGCTCCACAATAAAAAGCTAGGAATATGACACATCCCTAGATTATCGCAGCAGCTTCCTGAAAGGCAAATCCAACTTAAGCAATTACCAGCACGTCGTTATTCAGGAGTCCTCTTTGAAGTAAAATCAATGCGCAATCACGGGGAAAAGCTAAAATCAAGAAGGATCTTAGGATTTCATGCCCTAATTTGTGCTATCCTATCCTAGTTGATGCATCCACAAATTAGCAAGGGGAAATCTAAGTGTGCATATTGGTGAAAGTTAAAACCAAGAAAGCTTGTTCGGCAAGAAGAAAGACCCAACTGAATATTCTGCATATTGTCTTTGTGAAGCAAAGCCAAAGCGCTACTTTTTGGGTTAGATTTTATGGCCAGCAGGACACTTTCATTACAAGCAATCAGTGTGTCCATCAAAAAGAGAGAGAAAAGTTAATCAAGGGGGGTTTTGAGTACAGTATTACAAACTTGAGGGATGTGTTGTGGCGGTGGGTTTCCTTTTCCCTTTTTTTGGGTGGTGGAGGGAGCAGTCAGACTTAAGGAATGAATTAGATTACAAAATTCACCTACATTACATATTCATAGCAATAGCAAGTAGCATACTCACATGTCTTGAGGAAGTGTGGAGTCATCAGTGCTCGTATACAAAAATAAGGAGCCTCCACTCTCAATACTCAGAAACTTCAGTGATGCCAAGTCAGTATACTCATTTGTCACAGCAAATATGTCTACACAAACACCTGATTGCACAGCCACGGCAGCCTATTGAAATATATTTTAATGCTTGATGTTCAAATGTAAATTAGCTAAAATAAATAACTCACAAACTATGCTAGTACCAGATCTTTATAGAACGGAGTTTGTTCGGGAAGTAAAGCTCGATCTGCATCCTCTCGTCTACTAGCGTACTGCTCTCCATACCGTCTTGTATCTAGTTGGCCGGCTCCAATATCAGGAGCACCAGAAAGAAAAGCAAAAACTCTAGCTGCATTTTGATCCAATTGGGGAAACAACAACAAAGACACTGAGTATTATATCTTTGGGCAAGATACTGTGGAACTACGAATTTAGGGGAAATATTCTCATATTGCTGTCCACATTTTTAAAAGGTTGATCCAAACGGTAATGGAAACCAACCTAACTAGAGGTGCATCATTCATTGTAGCTGACACAAAGAAAGAATCATTCATTGTAACTGACACAAAGACAGAAGTGTGAAATTGTCATACCTAATGCAAATGTATTTCCATATTCTGATCCAATATAATTGAAAAGGGCTTCCATTGCAGATCCAAAACCCCTTCCGCCCAGGAAAACTCCATCTAACCCTTGACCTGCACCTGATGTCCTTTCCCATGAAGTTGTTGGCCTCAATGTTTCAAGTGCTGACGCTATGCGGTCCTTACAGGTATCCACCTACAATAAATCACTGATTTAGGGCTAGTGCATGCTCATCCATTTTGACATTGAAAAAGGGAACATCTTCACACTCAACTAGAAAAAGAAAAGCATTGGCAAAGAAATTAAACAAACGTACTGGAGCTAAAAATGAAGATAGGGGCATGACATCCTGAAGTTCCATAGACAGAGTACCATCAGAATCATAAGGAATGAAAACATTCTTCACCACTGGAATGGGGCCCTGAACATCATACAAACCTATTTTATGGCTGAATGTGGCCAAGCCAAATAGTGATCCAGGCCCAAGAGCTTGATCCAAAGACAAAAGAAAACAAAATTTTAAATTCCCTCCAGTACAGAGTATAAACTTATATTCAAAAGATTCAACAATAACCAACCTTCTAAAGCAGCTAAAAGGGCACTTTTAACAAGTTCCAAAAACTCCTCCGATGCTGCATCAGAACTTAACACCAGTTAATTCATAATAGCAACATTCTACATATCTTCTTACCACAAAATACATCAGTTCTTACTGTAAAACCTAAGATAGCTCTCAATGATCAACAGAAATACAGTATGCAAAGTGAAGATTGATGTCGGTAAAATTTAACTATGATGGTGTATACACATATATGCATTAATATTATATGTGCCTGAGTGTGCTCATGATAAAAGGAAATAGCATGATGTTCTGAGCTGAAACTTCTCAGCCACATGTTGCTGCTGATCTAGCCTTTGAGACTACAATCCAGTTTCAACTATTTTGACCTTTTTCTTTTAACTTGAGTTTCAACTATTTTGACTTACACACTGAAACAAGAATCTGTAACAAAATTTCTGATTGAATATCACCGAGCTCTTAAGTTCTTTTGGGAAATTAACTGAGCACGTCAAGACCAAAGGCAAATCAAACAAGTATTGAGATAAATTCATAACAAAACTTTGAGAATAAAGCACTTGATCCATGCATGATAATAGAGTGATATTACATTCGTCCACATGACAGAAATATGACAACAAATAAGCCAATAACAAACAGGTATGAAATGAGCACTTTACATTGTGTGGTTTCTAAAATTGCTGGACCAGACTTTGAGTTTAACAATGTGCACAACTGAACATGTTTTATCCATAATAATGATATGACATTCTTCCACATGACTTGGATACGGTATTCAATAAATAAGCTAATAACCAAACAGCTACCAAATGAATACCTTATTCTTGATAAAGCTATGAAACAAATACTCTTATGCTAGGTGATTCCTAAAATTAACTGAACCTAAGTAAACTAGTTATTTTTGTAACTTTGAATTTGGAAAGAAAAAAAAAAGAGGTCTTGCAAACTTTTGATGTATAACATCTAATAGGAAAACTGATAGCAATGGAAAGTTCTCCACATGATGAAAGTGAACAACAATTTGAGATGTAATAATATGACAAGTGAGACATCCTTGGTAGGAGTAAAGGTTATTCATGAAAAGTATACAAGCCAATACAGGTTTCTTCCCCGAATATAATGAAGGTTAACTACTGTATCTTAGAAGCACCAACACTAACATATAAAGATGTGTGAGAGAGAAACTCACATCATACTTCATGTAAATTATTGAATCTCTCTTCCATGACTGAACAAACTAGTTTGCCAAATAAAAATTAGCGATGAACTCTTAGTTAAGATTTAGCTTCATCTATGTTTTCATCAATAACACTAAAGCATAAAACCTATGGAGGAATGCTTGCAAGCATCTTGTCTCTAGATTTCTTCAATTTTAAGATGTGGGTGGCATCCATCCTCTACGAATTCCTAACAAGTCACAGCACTTCAAATTCTCTAAAAAAATGAACAAGGCACAGCACCTCCATTCCCATAAACCTCAACAAACCAACTGAGTTTTGGTTGATTTCGGCCAGTCAATACCTTGACTTCTTTTTCAAAATAAAAGTTTTATACTTGGAAACTACATAGAATAGTATCACAAACCACATTTTGAACTTAAAATAAAACATTTCAGCAAATTATCAATCAATAAACAAAATTTCAGCAAAACTCAAAGTCAGAAAGATTTCTTCGATGCTCTCAAAAGGAAACAATGTAATAGTCCTTACATCAAATCAAAGCAAAAATAATAACCCAGAAACTTACAAGCAAGATCAACAGCTGCTACATAAACAGGCCGTGCCTGCATTTCCTCAGATTCTTCTACTGCACCACCATCAAAAAACAAACAAAATTCAAAAGGGTGCATCTGAATTTCCAAAATAACATAAAAGGGTGTTTTCAAATACAAAAATTCACATCAAATGGGTACATTTGAATTTCCAAAACTACATAAAAGGGTGTCATCAAATACAAAAATTCACATCAAAGGGGTCCCCAAAAGTCAGATTTACAGTAAAGGGTGTCTAAATTACACACTTACTGGGCAATTCAAGGTCAATAAAGGAAGATATATTCTCCGGGCAAGATTCAGGTTGAGAATAACGACTGACAGACTGAGAAGATAGTCCATTGAGTGTACCACAAAGGGAACAAGTCCAAGCCCACTGCTCTTGCTCACAGTATGTATTATAGTAAGCCCAACAATTCTCACATCGCGGTAGTAAGTGACCTTCCGATCCATAAACCGGTGGATTCCCATTCTCATCCTTTGCAGCAAACGGTGAAACTGTTACACCCCACGGTAGCCCTGACTCCTCTAGTGACTCTACGTCAATCGGAAACCGAGTAACTGTTGCACGCACCGCCATTAGAGCGTGAGATTAGAGCTGGTGACAGTGAAAATGGAGAAAAAAATAATATTTGGGGTTTTTTTGAGGTTTTGTTTTTGGAATTTTTTGTGTGAAGAAGGTGGGTGTAGGATAAGGGCGTACGCACGGCATGTGTATTTTAGTGTGAAGAGCTTTTTAATTTCCTTTTTGGGTTACACATGTAATGAGCCAATGTTAATTTGACACGTCGGATTCTAACTTGGAGAGAGTCCACGTCAGATTTAGAGGGGTCGAGTTTGTAATATCTCAAAGTTTTGGGCTTTCTCATACAAAACTTGTGAATTATTCAAATGGGAGCTTAATTTTGAATTCCCGAGCTCGTCACATTATACTTATCTAGTGTGATTTATCTTTCATGTGTGATTTACAGATTATACTGGAGCGTATATTATACTATATGCATCCAAAGATAACAACGGCAGGTCTCATTAACATAAATTAGAATAGTGTATACAAAATTTGTTAGTCTGAAAAGACTAGTGAATAATTAACTAAAATGTAAAAAATATTGATGAATCAAACATAGGTAAAATGAATATTGTATATATAGTTACGTACCGTTATAGCTTGTAAATAAAACAAACCTTGCAAATTTGACAAGACTCATGAATACCTAAAATTAAGTCAATTAAGGATCGTTCTAAAATCATGTCTCATTGTCATAACTTATGAAATTGTAAAAAAAATAAAAAAATGTTACGCGAAGGCTATTATTATACAAAACTGTTAAATGAGGAAAAAACTACTTCCATTACACATTTTACCTTTGCTCTTCAAATGAACTAATCTTAATTTTTTGTTATTTACCAATTAAATTTATACATACCAGGACAGAAGTTCCTTAAAAATTAAAGTTGTGTATAATTTGTAAAATATTATAATACGAAAATATACACCTATATTCGGTAATTTTTAAAGAGGAAATTACGCGGATAAGCAAACATATACTAGTTAATTAGTTAACATAACTATAGTTTACCTTAATTACAATTCGCATCCTACTTTTAGTTATAATTGTGCGGCTCAGTGTTTTGGTTTGTATAATTCGAAATTTGTATAATATAATTTGTATAAGTATAATATAATTTGTATAACTGTTTAAAGTTCAGATATTTATGTTTGTATAAATTCATTATTTCGAGTTTATACAAAAATAGCTCAATTATACAAACGTACCTGCAAATTATACAAACTCACCCATGAATTATACAAATGAGACAACTTAAACTGTAGCTATAACCCGTAAATATGCAAACTATAGCTATGATAATTAAGTTATTATAGTGTTTATTTGCGAAAACTCCCCTTTTTTAAAAAAGAGCAACAAATGTAGCTCTGAAAGGCCCAAGCTCAAATGTGGGCCTGACCCATTGGATATCAACGGCCCACATAATAAAATCTACTAGAAATGCTGTGTTGGGGGCAAATAAATCCCCTACAGGCAGCAAAGCGTCATTTGCGATTTACACACCGAAACAACAGAGGTGAGAAAACTTCTCTCTCTCTATTACTATGCTTTTATGCAATGTAAAATGGCTGTATGTTGGCGTATTGTTAGGGTTTCATCACGGTAGTTCGATTACTTGATGCGGTACGGTGCGGTTGGCCGGTAGAGTTTTGACAGTTTTCAGCTGTTTTTATGCCGTTTGAGGATTTGAATTTCTGTAAATCCTTCATATATTATTGATTATATGCTTATTTGTTCTTCCAGATGAGCATAAACAGTGTTAATTTTTGAATATTTAAGTGCAGGATAATAGAATGCTAGGTAATTTGTCAGTTTGACATTCGTGAGCTGCTTCCATGCCTTTGAAGATTTCATTTATGTAAATCCTTCATATATTATTGATTTTATGCTTATTAGTTCGTCCAGATGAGCATTGAGTAGTGTTCAAGGATTTTTCGGTTCGACTATTCGTGAGCTGATAGTATGCTCTTATTTGTTCTTCCAGATGAGCATTAAACAGTGTGAATATTTTGATTTCTTAACTGCAAGGATAATAGAATGCTAGGTATTTTGTCAGTTTGTGCCTTTGAAGATTTCATTTATGTAAATCCCTCATATATCATTGATTATAGGCTTATTAGTTCTTCCAGATTAGCATTAAACAGTTTAAATTTTGGAAGTTTTGAGTGCAAGTATTTGTTGGTTTGATTATTCATGAGCTGATTATATGCTTTTATTAGTTCTTCCAGATGAGCATTAAACAGTGTAAATATTTTGAATTTTTTTTAACTGCAAGGATAACAGAATGCTAGGTAATTTGTGAGTTCGACATTCATGAGCTGCTTCTATGCCATCTGAAGATTTCATTTCTGTAAATCCTTCAGATATTATTGATTATATGCTTATTAGTTCTTCCAGATGAGTATTAAACAATGTTAATTTTTTGGAAGTTTTTGAGTGCAAGGATTTTTCGGTTTGCCTATTCGTGAGCTGATTATATGCTTTTTAGTTCTTCCAGATGAGCATTAAACAGTGTAAATGTTTTGAGTTTTTAACTGCAAGGATAATAGAATGCTAGGTATTTGTCCGTTTGAAGATTTCATTTATCTGAATCCTTTAGATATCATTGTTTTTTTATGTTTATATGCTTGTTAGTTCTTCCAGATGAGCATTAAACAGTATAATTTTTTGAGTTTTTAAGTGCAAGGATAATAGATTGCTAGGTATTTGTCCGTTTGACAATTCGTGAGCTGCTTCTATGCCGTTTGAAGATTTCATTTATGTAAATCCTTCAGATATTATTGACCTTATTTCTTAATGTTTATACACTCGTTACTTCTTCCAGATGAGCATCAAACAGTGTAAACTTTTTGAGTTTCTAAAGTGAAAGGATAATAGAATGCTAGGTATTTGTCGTCTTGAAGATTTCATTTCTGTAAATCCTCCAGATATCACTGAGTTTTTAAGTGCAAGGATAATAGAATGCTTATTGGTTCTTCCAAAATTGTTAGATACATATTGTGTTATTATAGGTGCATGAAACAATAAATTTTTGGAACTTTTTAAGTGCAAGGGTAATAGAATGTTAGGTATTTGTCAGTGTGACAAATTGTGAGCTGTTTCTATGCCGTATGGAACTATGAATCAGATATTGCATTGTTTTTCTCTGTTTATATGGTCAGATACATACTCTGTTACTATAGGTGCATAATTTTCTGCAAGTTTTACGTGCAAGGGTAATGGAATAATAGTATTCCAATATTTGTCAGTTTGAAATGGTTATGGTTTTTCTGATAACAATAATTATCGTCAGTGTGGTACAATTTGGGATCTCCTTTGCACAATTGGAGTTAGTATAGGTCAAATACTGATGAGTACTATGGCTGTGTGAAGCTTTTCATTCTGGAAATCCTTTGATATTGCATTGATTATTTCTGTTTGCATGCTTATTGGTTCTTCCAGATGGTTAGATTCACCCTATGTTATTATTGCTTCATAAAACAGTCTGAAATTTTGAAAGTTTTTTTTTTTTTTTTTTTTGATAAAAGTTAAAGTTGTATTCTTCAGCATTAAGGGTATGCTGGCTACCTCCAAAAAGTTACAAGTTGAAACCATAATTACATAGATCCTAGGAAATCTACCAGCTGTTCTACTTCTTCTATACCATCTTCTTTACACCAAAAAAACAACATGTTAATGCAATTTTCTTTAACTTTCTGAATAGAGTTAGTAATATTCTCATGACACCTAAGGTTTCTTTCTCTCCAAATAGCCCACCAGACACAAGTAGGTACTATAGACCACCATCTTTTTAAGTGCAAGGAAATAGAATGTTTGGTGTTTGTTGGTTTGACAATTTCTGAGATATTTCTATGTCGTGTGAATCAAATATTGCATTGATTTTTTCTGAATTTATGCTCGTTGGTTCTTCCAGATGGTCAGCTCCGATTCATACAATATTATTATAGGTTCATAAAGCAGTGTAATTTGTTGGAGTTAGTAAGTGCAAAGATAATAGTAATGCTAGATATTTGTCAGTTTGAAGCAGAATTGCCTGGTTATTTTCTTTTTTTGGTGTAAACATGAATATCCTCAAGATGCAGAGAATATTCCTAGTATTTTAGAGTTCTTATGACCTCCGTAGGAGTTCTTTTCCTTTTGCAACTTTTGGATGCAAGTATTACTAGAATACTCCTTATGTATTCTTTTGTTTATAATACAAGTTACCTTTCTCAAAAAGATATTTGTCAGTTTGCCAATTCTTGAGATGTTTCTATGCTGTGTGAATCTGCATTGTTTTATTTTTCTGTTTATATGCTTATTGGTTCTCCTGCTGGTTAGATACATACTATATTATTATAGGTGCACAAAACAATGTAATTTTTTTGGAGGTTTCTAAGTGTAAGGATAACAGAATGCTAAGTATTTGTCAGTCTCAGTCGTTTGTGGTTTTGATGATTACAATATTATCGTCAGTGTGGTAACAAGTGTGTTCTCCTTTGCACATTTGACCATCCGGAATTAGTATATGTCAAATATGTGATGAATACTAGGGCCGTTTGTGTTGTTAGATCATCCAAATAGATTTTCGAAACAGGATTTGTACTAGCTGAGTAGCTGTTGTGTAGGAATGGGTGTCTGACATTCTTTTTTTGTTCTGACGAGGCTATTTGAAAGAACATGCAGTTTCCCTGTGATAGGGCTACATCCTGTAGGTCCATCTGTCTGTGAATGTCATTGATTCTGTATGAATAGATAGGGAATTAGCATTATCTCAGTTATTTGGCTGCACATTTTTTTCTCTGGCCTAGCTGTCCTGTAAAGTTGATTTTCTTATGGCAAGTGACTGGTTGATAATTACAGAAATTTCGAATGATGCTGGAGTTAACCCTAATTGGATGTACATGGTTTCTAAACTCTTCAAATTCATCAATATCCATTTGATTTGAATGTAGCTTGATTTGTTAATGACAGGAATATTTTGAGAAGAAAATTGAGATGGCAGCCAGGAATGCTTTCAGATATGTTTCTCGTAGGCTCTCTAGCAGTGGCAAGGTATTAAGTGAGGAGGAAAAAGCTGCTGAAAATGTCTACATCAAGGTAACTCTTTAGTTGTGATTTGTAACTTACCTGTCTTGTGTAGTTACTGCGACTGTATTCGTTTCATTTTGGTAGTCCCAGAAAATTATTTTGCATTTTCTTAGTGTATTATCTCTTTTTGGCAAAATGGATCCTGGTTTTGCTTTCTTTTTGATGTTCCATTTTCTCATGATCTCATTTTGCTTACTTTGCATTTGCATGTAGTATGTATACCTTCTTTCTTAGGGGTCTTGGGGCAATTCTATTATAGTAAATCTTGGGTATTCTTTCATGATTATTTTGCGCTTTTGCTGTTTTTGGGATCATAAATTGTAAGTGTAAGTGGACACTTCGTTCTGATTTCTGTAGTGTTCAGTCATGAGATATGTTGCGTCAAGTCCGCTTTCTCGCTTATCTAAATGTTAATTTTTTCACATTACAGAAAATGGAGAAAGAGAAGCTGGAGAAGCTTGCTCGCCAGGTATGGGACTTTTTGATATATATATATACATATATATTTATATTTATATATATATAGCAATTCATTGTGCTCAGCCTTCCACCCAACACCTTGTCTCCTCTTTAGGCGTTTTTTCACCCTTGATAATTTTACTAGTTGGTTGAGAGTTGACAACTACAAAGAGCGGGTTAAGACTAGGGTTTACTGAAAATTAATTGGTGTTATCAGAATAACCTTTTTGCTGATTCCATTTTGTATATCTTAGAGGAAGTCTACCGAGTCGGTGATAAGTTGCCATGTTATTATAGATTGTTGCTTGTCATACTCTCCTCCCTACCATTTTATGTGTTGATATGAGATACCCTCCAACAGTTATCGCCTCTTTGTCCTTAAGGTTGTCGCCATCTCTTTCAGACAGGTTGGGGGTTCTGATAATAGCTTGGAGAGGTTACTGACTGCTTATGAGCATTGAACCCATCATTTCAAGATGCTTGGAGAGGTTACTGACTGCTTATGAGCATTGAACCCATCATTTCAAGATTCACTTGAAATTGTCCAGTTTGGAAGTGGGCTGACCTACTTGTGCAATGTCAGGACTCTTGACATGTTCAAAATTCTTATGAGCATTGAACTGACTTTAGTTGAAATAGAAGTGGGCTCATCACCTTCAGAAATTTAACTTACACGAGGTTGGATAAAGAAATGAAATACATGGATAAAGAAATGAAATACATGGATAATGAAATAAAACGCTCAATTCAATAGACCAAGATATAACTCTAAAGTTGACCCTCGTTAGTTCAATGGTTTTCAATATTAAACCAGGTCAAGTGTTAAAAAGTTCTTAGCTTAATGCACCTTTCGCGTTAAAAAGCTCTTAGCTTAATGCACTTCACGGTAAAAAAAAAGAAAAACTGCCGGGGCTATTTGTTGTGTCTCTTGAATTTTCTCCAGCTCGAGTCCCTTTTGACCCCTTGAAATTTCTGCTGTTATGATTAATATTCCTCAGGGTCCCAAGCCAGAAGAACAAGCTGCAGGTGGCTCAGGGTCAGTAGCTGATGCTGCATCAAGTGCCCAGGCGTCTTCAACATCCAGAGTATCAGATGACAAATACCGCAACTATGGTGTTCTAGCTGGACTGATCACTGGTGTTGGTGCTTTGGGTTGGTACTTGCTGTCAAAGGACAAGAAGGCAGAAGAAGTACAGGATTGAAGTATCTCTTAATAAGCAAACTCCTTAAAAGACAAAAAAAAATAAAGCAAACTCCTGTTTCGAAAACAGTACCCTAATCTCTTTTCCGTCTGTATGGTTCTCCACCAGCTGGATGTACAAAAATCTCCAGAACTGGTGTACATTTTACAACTGCTGAACTGGATGACCTTCTATGTGTGTTGCTTCGTTGACACGATCACATCGTTTTAGAGAAGAATTTCCTCGGTTCGTTTCATATATTCCCCCCTTTACTTGTTTATACCATGGAAAGAATGCAGTCCATCCCGACCTGTCTGGGATAGTAGTTGTTTCTTTTTCACTGTCATCTGCTTCCATCCATGGTTAGTGTGATTTGGTCTCATAATCTTCTCTTGTTTTCACTTCTTTTTTTAATTATCTGTCACCATTATTGTGAGAGCTTAGGCATTCACCTTTGACTAATCAGAGTGAATCGATCTCTAAGGAACCCCCGAAAGGGCTGTCACTTGATGGGTACTATCCCACGATAGTGACGAAGTTGCTTCGACTTTAGAATCAGTCGTTAAACAACAGATATCTTCTATCTGCCCTATCTTTGTGCACATCTTTGTTTTTATTTATTAATATGCTTTTTGATTGCTGTCGTCTTTTTGTAGATTAAGTGCAACTTAGATGGACACTAGCATAAAGTGTAATGTTCGACTTTGTCAGACAACTCAACCACTCTACACACATATTTTATAAGGGCATTGTCTGCACGTCTGCAACTTTGCAATACTTATTTGTTGGTCTGATTTTCTGATTAAAAAAAGTTAGATTGCAAGAGCATATGCTACAAGAACAACATTACAATAAAAGCAAATGGAATTTATTTATTTCCCTTCAAAGTAGTAGGGTCTTTACAGAAAAGGAATTACAAAATGCAGTTGCAAATTGGGAAATTAAAAATAATTCAGTAGGCATTAATTCAAGCAGACCCTTTAACCTTCTTAAAAATAGCAAAAATTGCACCAAGCACAGCTACTACAGCACCTGATATCAAAAGGGTTGCCTTCAGATCTCCTTCTCCTCCTTTCTTTTCCTCCTACAAAATTATTGAAATTTAGAGAATGACAAAACCAAATAAATTTAAAATTATTTTTTAAAAGCACGCCTAGACGGCTCAACTTGATGTCGACTGACAACTAAACACTGACATTGATGTAACATATAAATTTAGAGGTGTCTTAGATGATGTCTAGATATACATACTCAAAGTTAAAAGTGATTATTTGCCTACTAAGGTCAAATTTGAGTGAGTTTAATTGACTTTAGCAACTCTTTAATTACAATTTTTTCACCTTGCGACCATAAAATTAAAGAGCATTTTAGTATATTAATATATGAACCATAATAAAGTACAATATATTGTTTAATTTCTTAAATTTCATGTCAAGTCTAAATAGAACAAACAAATTGAAACAGAATGAAAATTTAGGGGGGAAAAGGGTTATTACCTTGAGTTCCTTAGGTATTTCATCAACAACGGCAGCTACCGCCTCCTCCGATGGTGGTTCCGGCGCCGGCGCCGGTTGAGCTGAAGGTTCGATTGTTCCTTCTGGAGTTGCCATTTTTTTTTCAACTTTGGTTACTATTGAAGAATTTTAATTTTTTTGGTTCTTAAATTATTACATTTATAAAATTTTATAATATTTTTTGTCATTATTTATCGTGTGGTGTAGATAATAAAAGGATAAAAATTGTCATCTTTAAATTTGAAACGCGTGGAGCACAAGTGTCTTTGTTTCTCACATTTCACGTGTCTTTTTTTTTTTTTTGGTTATATATAATTCAATCATGTTAACAAAAGTCCAAAATATTACTAACTTTTAGTAATATTCTTTTTTATCCTTTAATTATCTTTTTGTTTCTTTTGATTTTATATTCGTTTTGTTTAAAAGTATATCCAATTGCTACCATTTTTGGTTAATTTCAATTTCATGTGTGATTACTCGAAAGTATTAGTGATTTTGGATAGTGATAAAAGGATAAAAAGAGAATCTATATAATTAAACACACTTCACAATTATTATTATTATTATTATTATTTGTACTTTTAAAATATTACTATTTTACCACTAATTAAGAGTTTTCTACTTATATATTAAGGAAGATACACTTAATTAGATACATGTAGTTTTACTACCAGTTACACTAAAATAGGGAGAGAGACGAGCGAGATTTGTTACTTATATCAAATTCACTTTGATACAATGTAACTAGAATAAATTACATCTAATTTTGACATTATATATCATGAGATACATGTATCTAGACATATCTGAATGTGTCTGAATATATCAAAATTTGATAAAATATGTAATATTACAAATTAGAATGTATCTTAATAATTAGCTCATAAATTAGTGAAATTTATGTAAAGTTTTCATAGATAAATGGACATTGGTATAGTGAGTTGATAGTTATTTTAGTTCAAATGAATGAGGTTATAGGGGAAAAATAATTTAAGCGACATTTATGATGTTAAGGGCACATATAGATTGATAGTATAACATTAAGAATATATATGGATGATAGTATGATAGGGCTCATCCATATAGACGATTTGTGATCGATCTCTTTCAATATTTTATGAATTGAGTTTATAGCATAAAGCTTACCTAGTGTGATTTATATTTTATGTGTGGTTTGCAGACTATTAAATAATAAATGATTTATTCAGTGCACATAAAGTGCTCAAATGTTCACCCGAAAGATAGAAATTGTTGCAGATATTATAGCAATAACAAATTATCTTGTCGTTTCGGAAAAAAAAAATCAATAGTAGAGGATAAATATGACCCATTTAACTTGTTTGTTTTTTTGTTAAAAACGATTCAACCATTTAATTAATGGGTCTAATTGATTAAGTTATGTAATAAAGTCTTTATATTATAAAAGATTTTTACAAAAAAAAATGACGTTTACCAAGTCTATTTGTCTAATCCTAACGTTACCGTGCATCATTATCAACTATTGTCATTGTTGTTTATCATTACCATCTACATAGTACAACTTACAATCACAATATATCACCAACCATTTTCATTATTTATCACTATCATTAACGATCACTATTTATTATTCACCACAATTATCAATTGTGTGTCATCACTAACTATCACCACATCACTACTAGCTATTGTCTAGACTCTATCATTAGCCATCATCTTCCGTCGACATTTGTGATTATCATAATTTATTATTTAATATTACGATATATTTTGATACAAATATTTAGATTCATATATCTAAATTTTAATACACATATTAATATATAAATATATATTCAAATTTAGACATTTTAAATTTAATAAAAACAAATACAGCTCAAGTCCCACATAAACAAAACTTAAATTGAGCTACCCAACTAATAAACATAAATTTAAATATGTTCTCCAAGAAAAGCACTATTGTATTTTAGTAAAAAAAAAACATTAATTTATGGGTGCTTCACCAAATGGAGAAAAACATTTAAAAAATAAATGATGGCTTGAAAGTCACTCCTTAATTCTTTAAAAAGCTTCATAAAACAGTTTCAACTTACAACTTAAAAAAGGAGCAAAGTTAGTAATCTTAGGTTATAAGATACATAATAATTAAATTTTGGATAATGTTGAACAAAAATTAATTGTTATTGTTGTTATGAGACCATCATGTCTTAATTGTTTGGAATATAACTTAGATTGTGAAATATATGTTTGAAGGAGGTTAATAATTAGTCATTAATTGAGTGGAAGAATTATGATGATATTTATAGAAGATCAACAAAAATAACTATGTGTTGATTCTAAAAAAGATTGGAATATTTTTTATCGAGATAACATAAATTTTTTAACGGCTTTTCTTTTTCCAATTAATAGATTACTTGTTTTTTTTTTAAAAAATAAGGCTTGGTGCTTCTAAAGTGACAAATGAGTTGCTAGGAAAAGGTTTTTTGATTGAATTAAAATTGTGAGATAGTTCGATTATCTAGATCTGTATATCAGCCTAGAGTAGGTTTATGACTCGTGAATTGAATATCTCTTAGTTCTTCAAAAAAAATATATTCTTCTAAATTTAATAAATACTTATTCATATTGAATAATTATACCAAATCAATTCAACTTATCTCGTTTAAGTAAGTAAAAATATATACTAATTAACCATGATTTGAGTAATAAAAGTCTATTTGCAAATTATAAATACATTTCATGCATGTATTGATTTAGGGTAAACATTAGATACGTGTGTAAATACTATTTACTTAAGAATATGATCACGTGATAATGACTTGAGAACTATAAGATCTCGAGTTTAGATTGAAGTGAACAATTCACTAGGTGATTTTTTTTCCATATTTGTCAAAAGCTTTGATGGATAAGCTTACTTAATATTTACGTTGATAAAAAATAATAGGTACTCATAAAATTGTTTGAGGTACGTAAAAATAAACCTGAACCCCATAATTATTAAGACAAAAACACTTAACTGTGATAACTACACGTCCATTCAAATCTCTTTTACAATAGTGTCATTTATTTTAGTAATTTTTTATTGTTATATTAAAATACAATTATAAAAAAAATATAATATAATATAACAAAACATAACATGAAAAATTGATTTCACAAATAAATATAATATTATAATAAAATATTGTTAGTGAAAAATGTGACTATAATTTATTATGAACATTGAGTGTTATTAATATTTCTTTTTCTTCAATGCTCTTTAAAGTAAAGTTTTTTGTTTCTCTCTATCATATGTATATTCTCCTCAAAAACTCTAAAATGAGTTAAAAGCTTACTTGGCAACACCCCATTGGCCATTCAAGGATGACACCATTGTGAGAAGCAAAATTAAAATTCCATAAATACCCCTCTTTACTTACCCCCGCCCCCCTTAACCCTACCCCACCCTCTTCCTCCATCATCTCCAACAAAAAAACTATACTGATTCAGATTCAAGAACCCCCCACCCACTAACCCCAAATCAAGAATCTATATATATATATATAGGAAATTTGAAGAAAATATAAACAAATATAATCTTGAAATCCAACTTCACAGCAAAGCATTTTCCCTTTTTATCTCTATATATGTAGTGTTAAAAAGACTGTGTCTTTGTTGCTTTTTCAACGCGCCATTAAAAGGGCTTGTTCAGAAAACAATAAACAATATGCTAGAGTTCATGATTCTCACGTCCCACATCTCTTAACTTGAGAAAAA